AATTAACCATTAATACCATATGACACCTTGGAAACATTATGTTAAGTGAAAGAAGCAAGCATTCTGCTTACCTACCATTTATATGACATTTTTTAAAAGATGAAACTGTAGGACAGAACAGAGCACTGGTTGTGAGTGGTTGAGAAGGCATAACTACAATGGGACCCATCCCAGAGAATTTTTTTGGAGTGATAGAATTGTTTTCTACCCTGACTGTGGAGGTAGGTGTACAAATAGAACTATCCAACCCAAAAGAGTTAATTTTATCATGTTAACTTACAACAAACTACAAGAGAATAAATAGTTGAGTGATACCATTAGCTTTTCCTTAAAGGGTGATTAAAAATAACAATTGTGGCTAATACTCTTGTCTAAAATTAGGTCTCAGCTTTATAAAAATTTTATTATATAAATTATTGAGAATTCAGAGCAAACATTTTGGGGGATCTTTTCCTTATTTTCAGTGTAACATTTCTGTTCACCTACTTTATGAACCAAATAATAGATGATGAACTTTTTTCACAAGATGTACTTTCTTAATTTTTTTTTTAAGAATCAGATGGGCGACTCAAATATCTCCAGCCCTGGGTTACAGCCAAGCACCCAACTCTCCAATCTGGGAAGCACTGAGACACTAGAAGAGACACTCTCCGGGTCACAAGATAAGGTTTGTACAGTTAAAGCCCTAGCTTTGTTTAGAGTAACAAAACAAAGAGAAACATTTTTTAAGGGTTGTGTTGCAGTTCAAGTTTGAGTTGTCATTTATCTGACCAAGTCTTATGTGTGATAACATAGTGACAACCATCTAGGTAATTTCCTTAGTTCATATAATACTCTTTGATCTGGATTTTGCAGTAGCCTCCTGTCTGGTCTCTCGAATTTGTCCTTAATTCTACCTTCCCTATTCTTAGCCCAGCAGCCAGAGTAATACTGAGGAAACCTTAAGTGTATTCCTCTACTTAAAACCCTCCAATGATGTCCTGCCTCACTCAGTTAAAAGCCAAGGAGATGGCAATGGCCCACAAGGCCCTACATGATCTAACCTCTCTACCTATGGCATCAACTATACCTATACCCCTCTGCCTTACTCACTTGGCCTCCATGTCATTGGCTCTCTTGCGTTTTCTCAAGTGCTAGACATGCTCCTGTCTCAAGACAGGCCTTTGTTCTGGTTGTCCCCTTGGCCTAGAGTACTTTCCTCCCAGGACTGTCTTGCTTTCTTTCCTCCTTTTGATCTCAAATGTCCTCATGTAGGTGAGGACTTCTCTACCTACCCTGTGTAAAACACCAGCCCTTCCCATTCCCCATCCTCCAGCTTGTTTTGCTTTCTCATTAAGTCTTCTAACTAGCTAACATGGTTTTTCTTCTTTATTTACTGTTTTTCTCTTGCTCACCAAAATATAAGCTCCATGAGGGCAGGTAGTTTTATCTGCCTTTTTCAATGCTATATGTATTCTTAAAATCTGATCTTGTGACTATTGAATTAATTAATTCTCTTTATAATTGATAGTCTAATAAAAAAACATATCAAGTAAAACCCATAATTTGGTTGATAAATAAAGCCTCCTTTATCCAGTCCACCTCCCAAATCCTCCATTTACATATTTTTGTGTGAATATAAATTTCTATTTCTCTGGGTGAAATGCTTAAGAGTCCAAACTTTCAGATCATTTGATGTTATGGTTTAGATCTGGAATGTCCTCCCAAAAGCTCAAGTGTTGAAAACATGGTCCTCAGTGCAGCAAGGTTCAGAGACTTTTGGGAAATTATTGGATTGTAACCTCATCAGTGGATTAATCCATTTAATGGATTCATAATTTGGTCTAGAGGCCAGGGTTGTAGCTCAGTGGTAGAGTGCTCAACAAGCACGTTGGGGCACTGGGTTTGATCCTCAGCACCACATTAAAAAAATAAATAAAATAAAGGTATTATGCCCACCTACAACTAAAAAATATATTTAAAAAAATAAGAATTTGGACTACTGGGTGGTAATTTAAGGCATTTGGGGCATGGTTGTTGAAAGTAGGTCACTGAGGATGTGATTTTAGGGACTATTATTCTTCTTCAGCCCCTTCCTGTCTCTCTCTGCTTCCCAATTGCCATGAGATGAGCAGCTTTCCTCCACTATGCCCTTCAGCTCTGATGTTTTTACTTTTCAGTCATCTGAACATGATGGTTTTTTACTTTGAAACAGGGTCTCACTAAGTTGCTTAAGGCCTCACTGAATTGCTGAGTCTGGCCTTGAACCTGCAATCCTCCTGAATCCCAGTGACTTGGGAGGCTGAGGCAGGAGGATTGCAAGTTCAAGGCCAGCCTCAGCAATTTAGTTGAGCCTGTCTCAAAAAATAAAAAGGGCTGAGGGATGTGGCTCAGTGGTAAAGTGCTCCTGGATTCAACCCCCAGCACCCCCGAGAAAAAAGTTTAAAAACCTGCCAAACTGTTTTCCAGAGGCTGTACTATTTTACATTCCCATCAGCAATGTATCCATAACATTTTTAGGTATTAAGTAATTAATTTAAAGCAGATTTTGTATATTACATTCTCATACTACCAGGATTTAGGATGCTGGCAGTGAGACTTACATTAAGTATGGTTCTATTATAAAAATTTTATTATAAATTTAGTTTTTCTTAATGTATTTTTCAGAGCCAGATTTATAGATTTCCTTCCATTGTACTTTATCAGCCAACAGTGTTCATGGATCTGTCACTTCCCCTTTCCTTTTTCTTAACACTGCCAAACTCAAAGAGTTACTATGAAGAAATGGACCAGAAAAATTCTTTAAGAATTTTTTTTTCAATTTCATTGAAAAATGAAAAAGGAGTATGACAGGCCATAAAACGTTCAGTCTTTCAATAACAGCACCAGTGATGGATCTGCAAACATTGAGAATTCAAGTGGATATTCAGGGAAGTGTACTTTCTAATGTAAATAGTGCTGATGTTGTTATTATTGCTTCAGTTCTTAACATACTTTTAAAATTCCATTTTTACTGGGTGCTGTGGTGGTTCATGCCTATAATCCCAGAGAGTTAGGAGGCTGAGGCAGAAGGATTGCAAGTTCAAGTCCTGTTTTCAGCAATTTGGTGAGACCCTGTCCCAAAGTAAAATGGGCTAGGGATGTAGCTCAGTGGTAGAACTCCCCTCAGTTAATCCCTAGTACTGCTAGATAAATAATAACAAAATAAAATTTCACTTTGGGGGTCAAATTCAAACAAACAAAAAAACATGATAAAATGTTGAGATTTGATTATCAGAAGCTGTTTGTTTGCCTAAAATTAACTCAAATCCATATCAGCCCCTTACACACAGGCATTACATTTATTTAGTAACAGTGCCATCTAGTGTTGAGGGATAAATTATACTATTCAAATTTAACAGTCTTTTCCATTTCATTTTCACAGCTCAGTTGTTAATTCCATTTCATTTTCACAGTTCACTTATTAAAACTCCCTTGAGACTACTTCTGCTTAGTTTGTTGTTTTTTGCTTTGTGGTCAAGCCTGAGGTATATTTCACCAAGAGGTTTCTCTGTTTTTTTGGTACGAGGGATTTAACCCAGAGGTGCTTAACCACTGAGACACACCCCTTTATATTTTTTTTTTATTTGAGACACGGACTCACTAAATTGCTTACAGCTTCACTGAGTTGCTTCAAATTTGCAGTCCTCCTGCTTTAGCCTCCCAGGCCTCTGGGATTGCAGGTATGTACCACCATGCCTGGCAATTTCTGTTTTTTAATGGTTTAATAGTGTATTATATTTAAACTAATAGTAGTGTTCATTTTTACATAATCATGCATGCAGGGATAGTTTGCTCCATTTTAGTCTTCAGTGCTTCCTTTTTCCCACCACTACTTCCTCTGTTTTACTGATCTTCTACTTACTGTCTTTTTTTAATTGGAGTGCTTTATAAATATACTTAAAGGTGGCTTCAGTGATATATGTGTACATAGTATAATTTTGTCAGTTTAATTCCATAATTCCTCCCTTTGCCCATTCTTCTTGTCTCCCCCTTAACTGCCTTCTTTCACTCCACTGATCTCCCCACTGTTTTCATGGGATCTGCCCAGCCCCCATTTTTATCTAGCTTTCTGCATAAGAAAAAAAAGATTGACCCTTGATTTGGGGGGTCTGGCTTATTTCTCTTAGCATGATGTTTTCCAGTTCTGACTGTTCACTAGCAGATGCCATAATTTTATTCTTTATGTCTGATCAAAACTTACCTGTGTATATATACCACATTGTCTTTTTCAATTCATCTGTTGACAAGTATCTGGGCTGGTTCTATATCCTGACTATTGTGAATATACTGCTATAAACATTGGTGTGCCTATATCACTACACAGTATGCTGATTTTAGTTCTTTTGGATAAACATTGAGAAGTGGGATAGCTGGGTCATATGGTGGTTCTATTCCTAGTCTTTGAAGAGATCATACTGCTTTCCAAAGTGGATATGCTATTTTGCAGTTCCACTAACAATATATGAGCATACCTCTTCCCCCACATCCTTGTCAGTATTTATTATTATTGGCATTCTTGAGGATTGCCATTCTAACTGTAGTGAGATGAAATCTCAATGTAGTTTTGATTTGCATTTTCCTGGTTGCCAGGATTTCAAACATTTTTCCTATATTTGTTTGCCATTTGTATTTCTTCTATTGAGAAATATCTGTTTAGTTCTTTTGCCCATTTATTGATTGGATTATTTGGGTTTGGGTGTGTTGGATTCTTTGAGTTCTTTATATATTCTGAATATTAATCCCCTATTGGAGGAGTAGCTGACAGAGTTTCTCCCATTCTGTACACTTTCTTCACACTCTTTGTTTCCTTTGTTGTGAAGAAAGAAGCTTTTTAATTTGATTTTTAATTTGATGCCTTCTCACTTATTGATTTTATTTCTTGAGCTTTAGGAGTCTTATTAAGGAAGTCAGTGCCTGTGCCAGTATATTGGAGTGTTGACCCTATTTATTCTTCTAGTAGTTGCAAAGGTTCTGGTCTAATTCCTGGATCCACTTTGATCCACTTTTATTTGACTTTTGTGCAGGGTGAGAGGTATAGGAATCTAGTTTCATTCTTCCACATATGGATATCCAGTTTTCCCAGTACCATTTGTTGAAAAGGCCAACATATTTTGATACCTTTTGTCAAGTATCAGATGCATGTCCTGTTGTTTGATCTCTTCCTTTCATATAACAAAAATATTTCTTTCCTGAAAAAGACCCTAAAGTTTCTTCAGAATAGTCCCAGGGTGTGCTGTTTTTCAGAGTAGGTAAATCCAGATGTTGGTTTGTGCATATAATACACAATGTAATGGTTACTATCCACATAATCTGTGTTAATAAATAAGAATTAGTATTGGTTTTCAGTGCTTTTTTTTTGCCAAGCAATTTTGGCTCATTTTTTTCCTTTTTGTGTGCATGTGTGGTACTGTGGATTAAACCCAGGGATGCCATAGAAACAGAAAGTAGAGCAGAGGTTGCCAGAGTCTGAGGAGCATTGAAGAGGAAAGATGAGAAGTTACTATTTAATGGTTACAGGCAACTGTGTCCACCTGTAATCCCAGCTACTCCAAAGACTGTGGCAGAAGGATTGCAAACTTGAGTCCATCTTGGGCAATTTAGTGAGACCTTGTCTCAAGATAAAATAAAAGGTGCTTAAAAATCTACCTCATCGATAAGAGCACTTGTCTAGTGTGCACAAGTCCCTGAATTCATCCACAGCACCACAATAAAAAGGAGAGGTAGAATTTTGGGGAGGATGAAAGAAAAGTTCTAGGAGTAGTGGTGATGTTTACACAATATTATAAATATACCAAATGCCACTTTGGTCTTTTACCACTTATTTTTTTCCCTTTGAGTTGGGATCTCGCTATATTGCCCAGACTTATCTTGGACTCTTGGGCTGAAGTGGTCCTCCTGCCTCATTGTACCTAGTAACTGAGATTACAAGCATGTGCCACAATTTTGGGGGGGGGTGGGGGGGGTTGGGCGCATTATCTCTGTGCTGTCAGTTGACATTTATGATGCCAGGGATGCAAAGTGAATAAGTCATGGTGCTCAGCATGGGAAATGGAATGATTATATGGCCTGGACAAAAAAGTCTATCCAATGGGGGAATTCATTGTCTACTTTGTCTTTCATTGAGTGGGTTAGAAATGTTGCCATGGAAGTTTAAACAGCTGTGTTCTTGATTCTTTGCATCAGGGAATAACAGGGTGGTTTATAATAGCATAGTGTTGGTATCCCATCAAGTGATTGTGGTTTTTTGCATTGTGAGATTGTGACATTCCAGAAGGATATGTTGAATTTTTAATATACAAACATTTTTCAGGTTCCCTTAAAAAGTATACAGGTTTTTCATGATTACTCTTAAGACTCTATTGACCTAGGGATTTTGCTCAGTGATAGAGCACTTGCTCCATACACATACACCCAAAAAAAAAAAAGTCTGTATGATATTTATGACAATAATATGTCAATTTCAATTTATTAAATATTTGTGGGCACCTGACATTGTATGATAATTTAATTTTCACAATTCTATGAGATAATTGCCACAGTTGTCCCCATTTTGCAGATGAAGAACTAAATAAAGATTATATAATTTTCGTTAGTGCCTGAAAAATGAACCTACTTATCTTTGATTTGATACCCTAAGTTCTGTACTTTTTTGGGAAGTACAAATATGAGCCATTTGTGGTGGCATACACCTGTAGTCCTAGTGGCTCCAGAGGCTGATGCAGGAAAATTGAAAGTTCAAAGCCAGCTTCAGCAACTTAGCAAGGCCCTAAACAATTTAGTAAGACCCTATCTCAAAATAAAAAGGACTAGGGACATGGATCAGTGGTTAAGTGCCCCTGCTTCAATCCCTGGTTGGGGGGGGGGGATAATATCAGGAGCCATTCTGGACAGTAGCTATGCACATACCTGTAAGTCCTGAGCAAAGGGGTACTGAACAGTTACTGCATCCCTTGGATAATGAGGTCTGGCTCCAGGAGTGAGTGTCACCTGGTGGAGTTGAGTTACCCTCACCTATTCCTTTGTAATCTTACCCCTTTGCCCTTTTTGGGATAGAATGTTCCATGGAACCTCCCCTCCTGTGTCTCTCTTTCCACAGACCCCTAAGGTCACAGAGCCGTCCCCAGATTTTGAAAAGGTATTTCTATGTGTTTGCATGCTTTCTTCACCATTTTCTTAAGTTATTGGAATAGTCAGATTTTGTGAACCCAGTATTAGGTTGCCAGCTCTGATAGATGGTGATAAAGGTGATAAAGTAGTAGTAAAAATATGAGGGAGTTGAACTATATAAAATCATTAGCTTTTTTTTTTTTTTTTTTTTTTTTACATCCAGTTTATAATTAGATGTTAGTGCTGCTATATATTTGATGTGAGATTCCAAATCTGGAAAATTCTTTAAAGGGGCTGGGGATGTGGCTCAAGCGGTAGCGCGCTCGCCTTGCATGCGTGCGGCCCGGGTTCGGTCCTCAGCACCACATACCAACAAAGATGTTGTGTCCGCCGAGAACTAAAAAAAATAAATATTAAAAATTCTCTCTCTCT